GGTGGCATACGATTTGATAAAAATTGTTATCAGCGCTTATCTAGATACGATAATGCGCGTAAATCTAGAACACTATTCACGTTACTCGACAAATATTTACGTAATTCACAGTGAGTAAACTGCACAGGGTATCCTAATCGTTCTCCGAGGCAAGCAGATAGAAATCGTACCTGTCGACAAGTAGAAATTAATTTCTATGTGTTTCCAACGCAGTGAAGCATTCGAATCTAGATAAAGAGACCCCCGTACGACCTTTAGGGTCCACAGCGACCCTTTTGTTAAACGAATTCCTCCCTAGAGTCGCACATATCACTTAAATCCTACAATTGTCAAGGAACCTAGTATACCGTTAGTGTGTGTGTGTGTGTGTGTGTGTGTGTGTGTGTGTGTGTGTGTGTGTGTGTGTGGGTGTGTGTGGGTGTGTGTGCTTTTGTAAACTTATGTAACAATTTAACTTACAATCGTCCATTTAGAAGGAATATAACGCGTATTGTTTATTTAGATAAAATTATTTATATTATCGTATTGTGCACCGCTTATTAAGGTAAATGATGTAATCGAGTTGCTCATTGTGGCAACATAGCAGATAATGCTATAAATAATATGTAATATGTAATAATAAATAATGCGTCATAGCAATATCGACACATATATTTACATGGCGTAAAATTAAAATAAACATCATATATGTCGTGCGCACATCGATATATCATTTATTTTATGTTACCAATATACGTGACAATACGTTATGCTTTCTATTTAGCGATACTATTTTATATGATTTATCGGCAGCACGTTAAATAATTATATTAAAAAAAGAATTTATCTCTGATAAAGTACTGTTACATTCGGCCTATTTAGTAATTTACTTTTATTATTGTATGATATTTTTTTTCTATTTTGATAACATACGATATAAAAATTTAATTTCATAGGAATAAAATGCATATATATTATTCATTTAACAAAAAATGAGTAAAGTATCTATTGGCATTAATAATTTAATATAAGCTTATTTTTTTATTACTTTTTTATTACATTTTTATTTACGTCATACAGAAACTGAATACATGAATGATTTACGAGCGTTTCATTCAAAAAATATGTTGTACTTGATAAATGGACACTATCAACCTTTTTTTAAGGGCCCTCTTTTGATGAATAATTTATTATTCACCGAGTACTAAGCAACTAGCTAATTAAAAATAAATTCGTTTTAGTGTGTTTGATTTTTCGGTTTTACGGATTATTCGAATGCATTCGTTCATTATATTGAAATTTCAGCGAGTCTCAGCATATCTAAAGGAAGGAGAAATTCCGTTCTTCGAATCGCGCTCGTTTTACATAAGACGGGTACATATTTTAGCGACATTCACTCGGCAGGGGGTAGATGAAAAAGACTTAGGAGCAGCGATGAGAAAGGTGAAGAATGGCGCAATGTCGCACCGAAGGCTAAGGGAGAGGATTTAGCCCTCTCACATCGAGGAATGCCAGCGAGTTATTTTAGGCCTTCCCAACTTTTTTCTCATTCTACAGAGATGCGTTTACGCGACGTAATAAAATAATGAAGAAGAGCCACTTGCCGCCAATACTCTCTTGATGTTCCTGCACTGAGAGAAAAATTGGTATTTGTAACTATAATTACATATTACTATAATTATGATTATTATTGCTATAATAATAATAATAATAGTAACTATGTATATAGTTCTAGCAACAAATGTATATAGCAAATGTATATAGTTGGCAACCTAAAATGACTATAATTATAGTTATTATTATAACCAAAATATTATAAAATAGTTGAAATTACCATAAAATAAATTTATGATTGTCCCAAAATAGAACTATAAAATTATAGTCTTGAACCATTTTTATGTGGTATTTTTTAACTATTTAATAACTATATAGTTGCCATAATAATAATCATAATTAATAATAAAATCATAATAGTAATATGTAATTATAGTTACAAATACCAAACATTTTTCTTTCAGTGACGATGAAAAAAATCTTTTCCCTACAAACATTCCCTTAGTCTCTTTTATCTTTTATTCTTTTTCTTTACATCATCTCTCTCTCTCTCTCT